TTTGTTTTCGGAGAGCTCGCAGCATTTTTATCAGTTTGTGGACTACTCCCAGTACTTGTCTTTGCTTCTACAAGTGCTTGTTGAGTTGGGGAATTAGAATTCTTATTAGTTGCCGGCATACTCTTTGGTGATGCATTAGCACGTGTATTTGGAGAAGTTTTAACTAATTTCGATACTTGTTTTGTTTCAGCGAATTTTGACTTTGCTGGAGACGATGTCTTTTCAGCACCTTTTGGAGATGTCACAACCTTTGGCACTGCAGTAGCAACTGGACTAACTTCACTACCTCCAGCTTTACGTATAGTTATGCCTTTTGGTAAAACTTTTAGAACCGAAGTTAAGGTAGTTTGTTTCAACTTAGGAGACGCATTTCCTGAGTTCACAGTTTCTTGCTGGGTAATAGCTGCAGCCGTTTTAGGATTTCTTTGTCTTACCACCTTCGAAGTTACTGGAATTTTTTTATCAGTAACTTTTGGTTGTTTTCTCGGTGGTTCGATTGGTGGGTCGTCTGAGTCTATATACTGAAACTCTTCACAATTTGTTATAGATTTAGTATTGCGAATTTCATTGGCTCCTCGTTTCTTACTTTGTCCTGGTTGTATAACAATTTGACTGACTATTTTTGGTTGATCGTTTAATACTAAAAAACAAAAAAATAAAAAACTTTAAATTTATAAATTAGCGTGTTGTCGAACATTAAGTTACCTTCCGTTTCTTCTGGTTCCACTTTTATTATATTTTGTTGTTCATTTGAACTACATTCCAAAGGAAACTCGTCAATGATATATTCAACTGCTTCTTGAAACTCTGGATTGCTATCCTCCTTTTCGCTGCCGCTATTTTCCGTACTTTTATTATCACTTTTTGGATCGTCATTATAAGCCTGCATGTCTTCCGCATGATGCTCGAGCACATGAGCATCCAGAGTACTATTAAGGCTAAATTGTAAGTCACAGAAAACGCACGCATATGTTGGATTGTCGGCGTGTTGTTTTATATGTAATGAAACCTCCTCACTAGTAGCGAAAGTTTCCTCACAAAGTGAGCATGTTAGGTTTTTAATTGCGTGAACAGCGGAATGATATATGAGTAATTCTCTCTTCTTGAAAGCTTTATTACAGATGGGACATACATAGTTTTCTTGTTTATGAGAGCGTAAGTGACGAGTCAAATGGTGTGAAAGTAAGTACGATTTTGAACAGAATTTACAAGGATATGGACGTGATCCAGCATGTGCAGTCAAGTGACGAGCCAACTTACTGGGTGTTGAAAAACTCTGATCGCAGTATTGGCAAGGATTCGGCTGTACTCTCGAATGTATGACCTAAAACACACATATAAATATAAAAAAATTTGTTATAATAAAAAATTATTTAAAAAAAAAATTGTAAACAAACCTCATGGCGTTCTTTGCCTTGCTTAAATGCGAATCCCTTATTACAAATCTTACATTTGAATGGTCTATTTTTAAGGTGACGTTCGGTATGCTTTTCCAATTCCTCTTTTGAGAGAAACGGTCTCTCGCAATGTACACATAAATGCTTAGGTACATCAGTGTGGCTTTTCTCATGGCGATATAGTAAAGTAGCACGTGTGAACGCTTTATCACAAATTGTGCATTTAAAAGGACGATATCCGGTGTGAATCACACTGTGTTTCTGCAAGTCATACTTCGAGAAGAATGATTTATCGCAATCAGGACATTGAAAACAGCGTTCGCGAACATGATTGGCCATATGAATATCACGCAATTGTCGTAGCGGAAATGAGCGTTCACACTCTGGACATGGAAACACATTTGTTTTCACTGGTCGCGCTTGTTTGATAAGTTCATCTTCTGGTTCATAGTTTTCGCTTGGTACTAGTATTTCTGTAACAATAGCAACGTTACCATCTTCATCACGTGTTACCTGTGGCCTGCTTAATAGCGGCTCAATATCGATTTCTACATCCTTATTCAAAATGCGTATAGAGGACTTATTTAAAAGTTTTGGTTTACCCGTTGGTTTAGGGGTTTCTTCAGCAAAACCATCCGAATCAATAAAACGCTGTACATCATCTATTGAGAGTTCATCATTATTTTCTATTTTGTTCATTATGCTTAAAGCGTCAAACTCAAGTTTTTCTTTTTTTATGCGTATCGGTACCGGCGGTTCAGGAGAATCTGCGGGATCTGCATTCAGCAATTTCTTTACGACAATTTTTGTTTGTTCATCTTTATTGTTTTCCGAATTTTTATTAGTACGATTTATTTGCATTGGTTTCTGGTTCAAAATAGTCTTGCTTTCCTTATTGGTTGTAGATTTTGTTACAGTTTGTAGATCTGGTGGCGTTGGTTTTTGTAATGGTTTCGGCCATTTACCAGTGAGTGGATACTGCCGTAGTAGAGTTTCTGCACGTTTACACATTTGCTTAAAGGAATAGCTGTACTCAAACATCAAGCGACAATCACTACAAACTTTGGTCGGCATACCGTCATCACTGAAAACCTACAGAAATTCGAAATATATGTTAGTGTTACCATAATTACATTTTAACTTTTCTAAATCAATAATATTTTTGTCTTTAATTTTTGTAAATTAATCATTCATACATCAATGGAGCATGTCTTTTAAGACAATCGTCAATAGGATCTACCAATCTTAGAGTATGTAATAGTTGCAATCCTGGTTTTGTAGAAAAACCGCATTTAAAATTTTGGTAAGAGGTCGTAACAATACTTAAATTTGCAAAACAAGCAAAAACTATTTACTGACCACACATCAGGAAGACTTCATAATTAGACAATAGGACCTTTGTGACAACTATCAAACTGAACCTAAACTTTGAAACGTTCATCCCATCAATCCCGGTATCGGTATTGTACCTATTTGGAGGAATGAGCACAAATTGGTCATTTATACATACTAATAAATCCAGAAGATAAATTTGATCGCTTTTTGATTCACAAATAGTATGATTCACAAATGATTCAAAATAGTATGTAAACAAATAATATATTAACATATTTATTATTTAAGGACGTAAACCTACTATTTATATGTACTTAGAGAAATACGTAAGTTACACACAACACACACTATGATGTTTTCGCACAGATTGAATTGATGGCAGATGTCCAAAATGATCCACGTGAATAGTGTCGAACGGAACAGGTTTTTTGGAATGTTGTAAAGATTGTGTTCATTTACACGTCCTGGTGGAGAACAAATCATACAACGCAAACAATTTTTTATAAACTTCTCTATCTTTAACTTCATATGATGGCACATCTTTTCATGAACGAGACGAAAAACACTGTCTTCCATTTCAGCTGGAATATATAATTGTAAATTATTATCTGTTTTTACTCTAAAAACCAACCCATCTCACTATCCCGGTTTTGTAAAACCTGTATATTGAAATCTAAGTCTTCCTGCTTAGCAACAGCCACCGTTTTACATGGAATTCTTATTATACCGGGCTTATTAGATTTAGTATCATTATCATCGTCAGAGTAGGTACACATTGCAACAAATTTATTTTTAATTCTCGTGAAGTAATCTTCCGCTTCTGTTTCATCACCTTTAAAAAATCGACTTAATGCATCCGCTTGACTCATTGAAATACCGCTTCGATGTTGTATTCTAAAATCAAAGTGCTCAAATAAAAGTGCCTACCTTGCTATTTTTGGACTGATGTTTTTCTTTTCTAACGTTAGTGATAGTGCACTGCAGTCAGTAAATATTTTGAATGGAATTCCTCTGAGATAGTTTTCAAAACGATTGAGAGTGTGCACTATGGCCAAGGTTTCTAACTCGAAGCTGTGCATTCTTAACTCCTCTGACGATGTCTCTTTGGAATAGTACTCGTAACATGCCGGATGAAATTTTCCATCATTTTGTCGCTGCAAAAGTACTGCTCAAAAACATAACTTGCTAGCGTCAGTGTGCAAATTGGTTTCTTTAGTGTGATTAAATATGGTCAAGACAGGTGGTGTCATAAACTTTGCGTTCATAATCTAAACTCTTCTTTGACTTTCTCATCAATGCAGAACTCAACACCAGACCTAAGCAGGCGCTGCAGCGGTTATGCTATCTTAGCAAAGTTTGGAACAAATTTGCGAAAATATGAAAACATTCCCAGACATGTATGTATGTCCTTTAATGACTTCGGCATTGGGTAGTGCATAATCGCCTTCAAATGAGAGCTGTTTGGTAAAATACCCTTTTCACTTGCTTGATAACCCAGAAACTCGGCGGTCTCATTATCAAACTTACATTTCTTGAAATTTAATTCCAAACCGATCTCAGCCAAATGATGAAAAACCTAAGTTAATGTAGGTATGTATATGTTCTTTTAAAGTTTCAGTTGCTACTTCAATATCATCCACATACGAGGGCGGTTTGATAAGTCAGTGACTTTTTGAATTTTCCTACCAGTGGGCAACTTTTTAATATTCTCAAGACTAATATGCACAAAGTGTGTTCACGATTGCAAGTAGTAAGAAATTATTATACTGCAACCTCAAAAGAGAGAGTAATTTGATGTTATCGTGGTAAAATCGCATGTATTCAAGTGCCAAAATGTTATAAAAAATAAAGTTTCAAAAGCAATTCAAAAGCGCTATCTTATCTATTGTGAATGTAGAATTTTTGAATTTGTTTAAAAACATATTTGTTGTTTTTCAATTTTTCACTTCAGTTGTGAGTTATAAGTGAAGGCAATTGGTTGTGATTGAGCGTGTGAACAGGCAAAGGAAGATTTAGAATTTTAAGTGCTTCTATTGTTTTATATTTTTTTTGTGAAAAATTGAATTAATTTTAAATAAAATCAAACTAAAAAAAACTGGGTTTGCACCTATCTCGTTAATGATTGTTGTTGTTATCACATTATTGGTGTCACATTATTGGTGATTCACATTCGTGAACGTGAAAAAAGTAGGAAAATATAATTCTTATATACAGTGACTCTCAGCTTATTTCATCCAATACCAATTTTAAAATTTCTTACGCTATTACTGAAAAACTATGTCATCGATTAAAAATATTTAAATGCCATTTTTAAGGAGAAATATTTATTGTTTAATTTTGAAACCCCAAAAATATTGAAAATATTATTTTAATAAAAATTGAACATTAACTACAAAAATACTCCTTTTTTAATGTCTCAGCTTATTTCATCCACAAAAAGAAATTTAATTTGGTCCTAAAGTCAATACTTGGTATGACACCCCTTTGCTTTCACCACTTCGTCAAGTCTCTTCGGCATTAAACCTACAAGTTTTTGGATTGTTCCTGGAGCAATTTTCAGCTACTCTTGTGAAATAGCCTTTTTTAAGTCTTCTTTGTTGGAAATTGTATATTGCCGAATGTTTTGTTCCAATATTGCTCTTAAATTCTCAATGACATTCATGTCTGGGTTCTGCGCCGGCGGTGACATCAGATGTGGGTAGTTCCAAATCAACCAAGACTGTACGATGCCGGCCTTATGTTTTGGGTCGTTGTCTTGGTAGAAGCGAAATGTTTCAGGAATTCCAAGTTTCACGGCACTCTGGAGTAAATTTTTTTTCAAAACGTTGAGGTACATTGATTTGTCCATGTTACTATCAATAAACTCCAGATTCCCAACGCATGTGGCTGTATGTTTTACTGTAGCTTTTAATTTTTCTTTTTTGAGCTTAGTCTTAGATTTCCGCCACATCTGAACTAGAAATATTGAATTTGGACTCGTCTGAGAATATGGCGCTGTTCCAAAAATCTAATTTTTTGTGGGCATGCTCCTTAGCATAAACAAGTCGACTTCTCTGGTTTTTTTTGCTTATGAAAGGTTTTTTTTAACTACTCGACCATTAAAGTGGTAGTATCGAAGTACGTGGCGGACAGTTTCCGTACTGCACATTTTGCCTAGTTCTATTCGTACCCTCCTGACTATATCAGGAGCATTTAATTCTGATTTTTTTTTTTATTCTCACGAACAAAGTGGTTAATGATGTTCTGCACAGTGGAGCGACTCAAATTAACGAATTCCGCAATTTTCCTCTTAGGTTAACCATCCTTAAAATGGGTTACCACCAATTCTCTCTGCTCAATTGTAGTGCGTCGTCCTATTTTTTTAAAAATTATTTTTTTATCGTACGTTCAAAATCATTCTAAAAATTTATTATATTTGAGTTGGAAATACTTTAAAAATATTACGGAAAAAAAATTCTGCTGCACAGCGCGACATACTGGCGACTAAGTGCAAATGTTAATTTGGATGAAATAAGCTATGAACTATAATTCTGTTACGCGATCGGGTTTTTCCCCTTTGAGCGAAATAAAAACAAATTTTATGTACTTTGTTTTATTTAGTATGTTCAATAAGCGTGCCTTTCCTCTTCTTCATTCCATTGCGTTCCCAGGGGGACATTGGGCCATAACGAACATTTTCCAACTGTCACGATTTCTTACCAGGGTTTTAATTTCTCCAAAGGTTTAAAAAAATATAACACAGTGTTGGATGAAATAAACTGAGAGCCACTGTATACATTTTATGCTACAGAAAGAAATGTGCTTAATTTGGTGAAAACAAGTGTTTAGTAATTTGTATTTATTAAGTAAGGACATACAACAACAACAACTACTGCTGCTGCTGCAACACCAAAAAAAAAACTATTCCGGCGTGTCTGGTACGCATAAAAACATTTCGATTGAAATATAAAATTGAAAGAACATGCATAACGCAAAATGCAAACGGTGGCGATAGCATAGATGCAAAAAGGAACGAGGAAACAAGTAGAGGCAATGTTAGTGGTAGCAACAACAATAAAAGGTAAGTTACCGTTGTTGTCTTTCCGGAGTGCGTGTCCAATCCAGTGCCACTTCCGGTCTTTAACCTCGAGTTCTATTGGTACATTTTCGGATATCGTAAGAAGTTCAGTGTTTGAGATTAACCATGGCCAGAAAATTTTAAATACACGGCGGAGACATTTATTGACATATTCCCGCAGTTTCTGTAGCTTTCCACGTTTCCATATAGAAGGATTGACTTGATGCTCGTGTTAAAAATTTTCAATTTGGTGCGACGCGAGATAGAGTTCGAGGACCAGATTTTCTTCGTTTTTGCGGGCTGTTGTCTACTTTTACAACGAGCGGCGCGGTGTTGGTAGTTTCAAGACGTATTAACTAGGTTTTGTTGTAGTTTAGTTTTAAACCAATTTGAATGGCGTTTTTCGCTAGAAGCTTAAGTTTACCTTTCATATCTTGTAGGGAGTGTGACAAGAAGCAGATGTCATCGGCATAATTCATATCATGTAGTTTTTCAAAGGAACGCCAAGTAATGTCGGCAGAGGGAAGGGCAGCGTTAGTTTTTGCGAGTATGTCATTCAGAACTGTGATGAAAAGCAGCAGTGAAAGAGCGCACGTCTTGGGTAATACTAAATTTTTGACTGTTTTTTGCTCTGCGGCGGACGCTGCAATATGCGTTGGTGTATAGCTCACGTATAAGGTTAAAATTTGGTCAGGGATTTCTCGGCGCTGTAGGGCTACCCAAATGGATTCACGGCTTAACATGTCAAACGCACGAATTATATTTGATTAAAAAATAAGAAAAAAATAAAACACACGAAACTTAAGTTTGATGCGAATTTATTTGAATGAATCTTAAGACTAACTTAAACCTAGTTTTGTTCGTCCTTTTATAATATCGATTCGGCACAGCAAATCGTGATAGTAAATTACAATTATTTACCTAGGACTATTTTAGTTTAGTTATCATTATATTTGTGTTGAGATAACTAAACTGAATACTTTTACAAATTAAATATATTTATTATTTTAGAGACTTATTTACTTAGGACTATTTTAGATAAGACGATCTCTTCTAATGAGTCGTTGTGTGTGTTATTAAGGTGATGGTACATAACTCACGTTCGAAATCGACAAAAAGCAAAAATAATGGAGACTCCGCGGATTGTTCTATGATGATTCGAAGTGAATTAATATGATCTATGCACGAGCGATTTGGACGAAAACCATTCTGTTCGCGTCGTAGCGATGAATTGATGAAAGGGCCTATGCGGTTAAGATTGATGGCTGTTATAATTTTCACGATGGTATTTAACAGGGTTATTCTCCTCTAATTACTGCATAGTGATAGGTCGCCTTTCTTCGGGAGCGTGATGTTATCTTTCCAGTTGTCCGGGATCCTGCCCTATTCCCAAATCACACCTAAAATGGGCTTTATTCTGGAAGCAAGAATATCGCTAGCGAACTTTAGCAACTCAGGAGCAATGGAGTCAGGTCCGCAGGCTTTGTGCGCTTTCAAATTGTTCAACGCTGATTTGATTCCGGTAGCATCTGGTTTGTCCACAGAGATTGCACACATAGGGTTGCGGCGATGTGTAGTCGGCGCTATTTACTACTACGTTTCTATCGTCAAAGAACTTAACCCATCTTTATAGTTGTTGGCGTGCCGATGCCAGAATGTTGTCGTGCTTGTCTTTTAAGGGGGGAGGATTTTATTTGTGCTCGCCGAGTTTTTTGATAGCTGTGTATACCCCTCTTAAATCGTTTTGGTTAGCAGCATGCTCATATTGTCATAGATTTTAAATGCGGAAAAGGCGTTATATCTTAAGATTTTAATTAAGCGCATTTCTTCGATGCGCTTTCATATTTGGTCAATGATCCATGACTTATGCTGGTTCTGTGTGAAACCGATTGTGTCCTCTGTTGCTTTTCTGCAAACCTCCGATATAAATTCCTAGGAGTAAGGGTCCCGGGACACTGGAAGTCTGTCTTGAAGTTGAGAGACGAAGTTTAGTTTCTTAGTTGGCTCTTTGAACTTGTCGATATCTAGTTTCCGAGTAGTGCTATCAGGAGACTGCCACTTGTACTTATGGGTGTCTTTGTGCAAGGTGCCTCCGATGAAAGGATGGAAATTGGAACAGAAGTTGACGAGGCGCTCGGCATTATCATTGCGGGTGTGACCCAAGCCATTGCGACCCATAACGTCTTCAATGCCGCTGTTGTTATTGCCTACCTTGGCGTTAAGGTTTCCATAGGTCTCCTTTTTTCATGTTGTCTAATGTTCCTTCAAGTAGGACTACGATAATGCGGTCTGATACAGGCTTAAATTCTAGAAGAGCTTGTTTTGTTTTTTGGGACAGAAGAAGACCTACTCCGTTAACTCGATTTCGCCAGTGACCACTGTATATTGGTCCGAGAACAGTTGGTGATCGCCAGAGCCGGTTCATCTAGTTTTCGACCTACCAATAATATCGATTTTGTATCGGTTTATCTTCTTCGAAACTTGCGCTAACTTAGAGGAGAGTGTGCGCACATTCCATGTGGCAAGCCTTAATTTCTGGCAAAAATTAAATATGTTACGCGTAAGATTCTTAGAGCCCTTCCTGCAGATTGGGAGGTGGTTAAGATTATTATTTTTAAAAAATGGTGGACTGAAATTTGAGCAGGAGAGGCTATGGATGCTAACTTGATACAGCATCTATTATCCGCATCACTGCCACATTATGAATTATATTAATTATATTTTAGTCTTAGGAAATTAGACACAGCATACAAAATTAGATTAAGGAGAACTTCAGTGGCAACTGAGACGAAAATCACGAGACATAGTGGAACCGATTTGACATTAGATACATAATGTATACATTTTCGAATTTTATGCAATGTACTTTAATACAATACAAATTCAAATTGTTTTTGTAATTGATTACTGCTCAAAACTTCTCTAATAATAATGTAAGAGTTTTATATGAAAATCCTTCACAATTGGATCGCTAACTAAAATATATTTTAATTAATTTTGAATTTTATTAATAAACTAATAGATATTTTCTTAAAAACTCAAATTTATGAAAATATACAAATTTTTGCGTCATTAACGATACTCTTTAATTATTTTAGCGTTTAGTCGTACTTTAATAGATACTATCAATTTTATTTAAAATTTTTTAATTTTTTTTTATAAATAAATAACGTTAATAATATTTTAATAATGCAAGCTTAAAAATTCTAAATGAATTCTATTTCTCATTTTTATAACATTCAAAACTTTAAACACTTCCCTCGTATTAATTTACTTAAAGGCAACATTTTTTTATTTGTTATGCTTTAGAAATGCTAAAGCTAGATTTACTGCTTTCATGCCGACGGAACGTTATGCGGTGGAGTACAATATGAATCATAGGAACCGCGGCCAGGCTCTCATTTTCAATCATGAGCATTTCGACATACCAAATCTGAAATCTCGTGCTGGCACAAATGTGGATTGTGACAATTTGCGTGAAGCTTTGGAATATTTGGATTTTGATGTATTAGTTTATAAGGACTGCAAATATAGTAAGATATTACATTACATTGAGAAAGGTACATTTTGTTTGATTTGCACATACGTATACCTATGTAATGTTTCTATTTTATTTTTGTAGCTGCCTCAAAGGATCATAGAGATAATGATTGTATACTTATTGCAGTTATGTCACACGGTAATAATGGCATTATCTATGCTAAAGACGTACATTACCAATTAGACTCTATTTCCCAGTACTTTACCCCCCAGAATTGTGCTACTTTGGCTGGTAAACCAAAGATATTTTTAATACAAGCTTGCCAAGGTAGTCGTTATGATCCTGGTGTTATGCTCCAGGCGACTCAAACAGATAGTCCACCTTATGGAATGGACTACAAAATTCCTCTACATGCCGATTATTTATATGCCTACTCAACCATACCAGGTAAATGATATGTTTCTTTAATATTCTTAAAAAAGCGTAAAAGTACAGTATATCAAGTGTTCATAATTATTAAAATAAGTAAGTGCTAGTTAACTGCACTAATAATATAAAATAGTAAGAAAACATTTCTGTAAAAAAGCTTTGCATAAACATTTTCAAGCTAGAAAATTAAACGCTTATATGTATATAAGTAAGGTTAGTTAAATTTAACCAGCTGTAAGCCCCCCATACATAGGTTTATTGATCTCAAGCGATACTAGATAGAATAAAATCTCTATGTACATTTTTATGTAGCAGGCATTTTGTGAATTTCAAGAAGTGCCAGGAGCTGTATTCTTAAAGCATAGACAGCAAGTATTTTTTTTTAAATATTTCTGTGAGAGAGTGCTTATTGGCCACAACTTAATGGTATGTGAAATATGATACTGTTTTGGACTAGTCGAATAAAAGTTGCAAGGTTTTTCCACATTAATTCTGTTTGACTTCAGTTTAAATCTCATCAAACCCCAATTCATCCTAAACAATCGCCTTCCTTCTCACATTGTCATCACCGATCCACATCCTAACCTATGTACATATACATTCTTGTAATTTGTTTCAAGTTACCTGCTTAAAAGGTCTTTACGGACTACAATAATAACTACTAGTAGAACTTAATCTAAAAATACAATAAACTCTCCAAACTAACAAAGACTAACTGCTGCACTCACATATATATATATATATATATATATATATAAAATAGTACAAATAATGCAAATAATAATTAAATTATATATTTGTAGGTTTCTATGCGTGGCGCAATGCCACAAACGGTTCATGGTTCATACAATCCCTGGTAAAGGAAATCAAGGAGAATGGTAAAAACCTGGATATGCTAACATTACTGACATTCGTAAATCGGCGTGTGGCTGTTGACTTTGAGTCGTGTGTGCCGGACAGTCCCATAATGCACCAACAGAAGCAAATCCCCTGCGTCACAACCATGTTAACGCGCATATTGCGTTTTTCAGACAAAAAATAGTTAACCTATAATAATCTATAATATATATATAAAGGATATAAGAATAACCAATTAGAATTAAGAGAATATTATTAGATTAAGATAATTATATTATTTAAAAATAAATAACAAAACTATTGTTAGATTTAGAATAAGTTTCAAAGAACAGTCTATTGTAGAACGTGATCTGGCAAAGATGATAATAATATAAAAGTAAATGAGTAAATAAATAAAATAAAGTTTTCATATAATATAAACAAATTAATGTGTTTTCATTAAAGACTATATTAAATCCCATCCCATCTCATCAAATATATTATATGCAATTGTTATTATTATTTTTTTCTCAATTTTTAGTAATTTCTAAAACGTTCAATTTGCATTTAAAATTTTGGTATTATAATTTGATAAAAAAAAAAAATTATATATAAGTATATATATATATATTTGTTTTTTTTTTAATAAGGTGAATATTTCAACTGAATTGTTTGTATTTTGGCAAAATAATAATTTATTTGCTTCCTCAATTATATTTAACACATTGTTATATTAAAGTGTATTTAAAAATATTTCATAACATTAATTTAAATATCAACAATGAGAATATGAATTCAAATAAAAGTACAATTTTTCAATTAATCAATTAATTTTTATCAAATCTTATCTGTAAATGAAACTCTACTCAAGTACTGCAAAAGGAAAAAAATTATAAACTTTAATCCCACCGAACTATATTTTTCTCTGAAAACTGTGCTATTAAACGTGACCAAATTAAATTTACATTTTGCTATTTGGTATAAAAAATTATATTAAATTTATTGAATTTACACTGCGACCTAGAGATCTATTGTGCCTCGATTACTGTTTTATTGAAATAAAATTAATTTGCTTATATTAGAAGGACTGACCGATCTTCCAAGGTCTGAATATCTGCAAGGTCAAAAAAGATGCTCGTTAAACCTGCCTTAAATCAACAGCTGGGGTTCGGTATTATTAAGTAAACGAATATCAAACTTATTCTTGGAAAATGTAGGACCTACGTCCTACGTTTCCTTCTTGGAAACTGCAAAGAGTAAAGTCCTTTTATTGGAAATGAAACCTATCAATGTTATCTTCAATTTAAACAGAAAGACGTTGACTTAACATTGAGTTTTTATTATTTTTATTATTTATTATTGATTAAAAAAATTCGTACAGCAATTACAAAAATTATAGAACTTCACTTAACATCTATATTGACAATAACATATTGGTTGTGTGTCAGATTGGCATACAAACGGAGGTGCATATTATTAACACTATTATTCAGATAAATTACTCAATAATTAATCTTCTGTAACTTAAAACCATTTTCATAAAATTATACAGATTATAAGTATTGTTACCATTTAATAAGACTTTACCATCTTCTTCGAACAAAAGTACTTTATCAAAAAACAGACGTCTATGTTCTTTGAAAATCGGACAAACACCAAGAATATGACATATATTTTCTATTTCATGACGATTACACAAAGAACAGTCACGTTCAGATATATTAAATTCTCTACCGTGTTTTCGTAATAAAAACTATACATAATATCATATTGTTGTTGTGGAAACATGTCATGTAGCATTCGCGACAAAGGAATGAAAGACTCAGTTCTAAACAGATATTTTCCCCATCTTTGGCCCAATATATAGCTTAGTCAGTTGTAAGTTCAGATAGTATTCAAGAAAGCCTTATGGAGGGGAGATTAAGAATTTTTCTTACCTAGGCGCAATGTGTTTGCACTGTCATCAAACTGCGTTGGTAAACCCATTTCTAAGCGGACCTTATAGTTTGGAGTGTTACTGGGTAGAATTAGAATCTTTTTTATAAAAAATCTAAAGAGTTTTTTCACTTGATCATAGTATTTATAACCCTAAACTAAGGTACCGTAAAGTATAATTAAACGCGCTGCCGTGTAGAAGATTTTTATTTGATTTCTGAAAGTTATTTTAGGATTTGACAACTACTTTGCCCACTTGGAATTAATTGCACTCTTACCTATTGAAAATTTATAAGTCCAATATTTTTTGTAAGAGAGGTTATATGTAATTACCATCCCGAAATATTTATATTCATTGATACTTTCTACCTGACTCTTCCCGAACTACCACGATAAGGAATTACTTACTCTAGGACCTTTTCTGAACAACATAATCTCAGATTTATCTAGATGCGCGATAAGACTCCATTGTGAACAATACCTAAGCAGATCATCTATCATAATTTGCAATACATCAGGTGAGTCCATAAGTAGAACCACATCACACAAAAACACTTTTATATAAGTTGAGTTGATAGGTACTCCACCCCTTAAAAACTCATGTAGATCATTTAAGTATAGGGAAAGTGACTCTAAACGAAGAAGACATAAGATTAACGTCCCTTACGCGACAAGTACAATTCCATTAGTGTGGTCAAAAACTTGTGAGACAAACCTAAAGTAGCTAATTTGAAAAATAAGGCATTCCTAGGAATAGTGCCAAATGCGCGTCAGAAATTAACAAAAAATGTATATGTTTTCTTATTGCTACTTAAATTTAAGTGTATTGTAGAAGTCAGATTGAAAATGTTATCAACAGTTGAGTAGGAACTGCAAATCCTCAATAAGATATTATTGAGCTCAACCAAGCCCTTCATACGCGAAAGTTGCATACCAGTAAATATTTTATAGATAGAATCGAGCAATGATAGTCCACGACATTTTGTAATTATATTGGGATCTCCATTTTTCATCATTGGTTGAATTATCGATTTTGAAAACGAAGATCGTACGACTCCGTGAAGAAATATAAAATTATATAGCGTAAGTAACCAGGAAACCAGGAGAAGCATTTTTGTAGAATTCATAAGGAATGCGGTCGTTACCTGGTGCTTTATTAGAATTGCTGATTGCAAGCACAAGCTGGAGTTCCCGAAGTTCTAAAGCGATTCAAAGAAAGAATTGACTAAAGGCGGAAGACGCTATGAGGTAGCTGGAAGGTCGAAACTGTAAGTAAGTAGGGATTCATAGTGAATACGAAAGTCTACACATTGTAGAGAAGTAGATACTTTGAGTATACTGTTTTTTTGAGAAACAGTATACTTAATAGTATTTAATGTTTCCATATTTTTTTATTGCCATCGAAGTTTTTATTACGGCAAAGGTTTGCATATGGAGATCTGAGTGAAAAGTAAAAAGGTAGGATGAGTTTCTAGATTGTATTTTCGATTAAGGAAATAAAACATATTTTTCCTAAGTCATGACACTTGTTGTCAAACCATTCTTTTTGGGGTTCAAAACGCTTATTTAAGGTCTGGTTACCCCACTACCCACTGTATCTACTTGCACAAGCTTCTTTCCAACGCATTTTTTTCGGAACTTGTATGTTATTCGGAATTACTTCCACACTTGATGGGAAATGAAATTCAATAACCAGCGGCATGTGATCGGAGTATGATAGATAGAAGCTTATGTATCTATCTAACATTTCCATCAGGATAGTCCAGGGTATTTCTTGCTTGGTTAACATCCATCAGCAGCAATTATTTTATTTTCTCGCCAAATAAAAGATTTGTCATTCACTGTGAGATCTATATTAATGTAAACACTTCTGCCTTTTAATTTCGTCACAGAGGATAAAATCAGTCTAGAGTGAGATTTCGACCTGAGTATTGCAATGAAAACGCCATTACCAGGTTATTTCTTTACAGTACACACAGATACATTTGCTTTCAGCACATAACTGCACAGTTTGTGGATTTCTCAGCAGACATTACTGTGTCACACGATAAGTCTTTCACAACAATATACGCACGTCTACTGTCTTTGTCGATGTGGTGAACCTGTGTTTTTAACCGGCGTAATTCTTCTTTGAGTGAAGTATTTTTCTTGCCTTAATGAGTTGATTTCTTCTTTCAATAATCACAGATCATCTTTCTTAGCAACGTTTTCAAGTTTGTTATTCAGAAACTTGCCAACCGCTCGTCAAAAACGGTCCAAGAGAAAACATCTTGTAATGCTGAATTATTGTTAGTATTCGGCATAGCTTTTTAGGCGAAGTTTGTAGTTTCTGGAAAAATTAATGACATCTTTCTTTTGTTAACTCTACTGCCCATTCCAAGGGAACACGCAACACAAGAACAACTACGCAGCACTTAAGCAAATACAGTCAAACTTCCATAACTCGAACTTCTATAACACGAATTTCTCTATAACTCGAAAAAAAATAGTGTCACGTGCTAATAGGGGTTTGGGAAAGTGCATTCTATAAGTGGAATTTTGGTTTTAAGTCTGAATTCATTTTAGTGTTAGGGGAAGTCACTTTTTCCAAACCAAATCTTTAATTTTTTTTTATATGTTGCTTCTTTGTGCAAAGCCAGTCACCGCATGTCAAAGAATTGGTATTTCTTCCGCCGTATATGGCCTCTTAATTGCAACCGCTAGATCAGGGTTCTTGAATAACACTGATGAAGACCGTGAATTTATGTAAAAGTAAAGTACAAGTAAAGTAAATAATATAATTTCCGATTCTACTCTTAACGAATTTATTCAGCTTAACAATGAAATTTCTATAGCAAGCTTTTCTACAGATGACAGATATTTTTGATCATTATAGATCTGAATTAATGGATCAGATTCTAAGCGAAACGGAAAGTAATTAGGGTTCGGTGGATAAAATTGTTCATTAGCCTTCCAAGAATAAAGTAGAGGGCTCATTCGAAACTCCGAATTTTAATTTGCAAACGAATGATACTACATGTGATGATCACTATAAGGGTTGGAATAAATTGGAATGTTTTTTTACTGAAAATAAAAAAAAAAATAACAATCTTAAACCGTAATTTCTGAATGTTCAGAACTTCTCTACAAATTCTGTGCTGTATTTGATTTCCAATAAATAAATATCTTAAAATGTAATTCTAGTTTCTTTTAAAATAAACGAAAAAATAAGAAAAGAATAAAATAATAAAAAAAAACAAAATAAAAGAAAAAAAGACAAAAGAAAATAAAACAAAAGAGGAAAAAATAAAAGAGGAAAAAAGAAAAGCGGAAATAAAACAAAAGAGGAAAGAAAAGAGGAAAAAATTTGAGCATTGAAAGTTTGTGCAGCCTTGGCTTCTTGTGGATAAACACGATTAGTCATCGCTTCTAATTTGCAGGCACGAGTTCTAAGCCTGGCACTTGCAGTCCAAACAAATTATATACGGACTATAAACTAATTAAATAAAAATTCGATTATTTCCAAAGACCACCGATGAAGAGTACTTGGCAATACTCGAAACAGCGTTGTATGTTCAGCCAAATTTCAATAAAATTAAAAAATAAATTTTTGTGTTTGTCCTTTATTTCTTTCTTTGTTATTCGAAAACCCTTATAAATTTTAATAAAGCTTCTTTGTCACTATACAAAGTAAGTCTAGCTTTACAGCAACACTATTACTTTATTAAAATAAAAAATAAAATAATTCTCTTACTCGAAATCTCCATAAGTCGAACCTTTTCTTTACGAAATGGTACTTCGAGTTGATTGTGTAGTTACAGAGAAAGAAAATATCTTTTTTTTTTTTAACTTGAATTTTAAATAAAAAATTATAGAAGAAATGAAATAAAATAATTATAGTATACTTTTATGCGCTTCTGTTAAAAAAGTGTTCTTGTGGTCGTAGCAATAACCAACTATGATTTAACACTGCTATTATAGTTTCTATAATTTATTTTATATATTACTTTTATTGTTTGTTTATTATGTGAAGATATTAGGACCTTTTAACCATTTTTGGTGCTCCATTTACCGAACTTTATGAATCAAAGCAATTTTAGTCTATATATATATATACACACACACACACACAAATGTTGAATTGAATTTTACTTTCTTTTATACTCGCAATAATTTATTGACACTTTAAATATTAATCAGAGTCAAGGCGGAAAAATAAAGACATTACAATGAGACTGGTCCAATGATCTATTGGGACATGAAAAAATATGTGTTGTGATATCAACTGTTTAGCACAAGACTATATACTGATCTCAATTGAGTTAGGGCAAGTTTGGTGCACATAAAGTGTGCCGTTTTTTCAGGGAGATATTAGGCGGGAATCTTTGAGAACTTTATTGCAGTGCAACTGTGATATGGAAGAGGATACTTTATCTATGTAGATGGCAGTTAGTCTATATTTATATACTGAATTTCACTGATGTTATGAGAGCACCCTACATATCTAACGATATGTAGAGATGTTTCTGTGTGCACACGCTACTGAAAGTTTTAATCACACTTTATGCTTGTTTAAAAGATATTATCCAGTTATCACCCCAGTCATTATTTTTAAATCCGATGTGATCTACTTTTGTTTTTTACTTTCATATTTTTTGAAGTTGCAGTACAGTATATGGTCCTGCTCCGGTAGACCATTTATGGTTGGCTTTGCTAGTATAATTCAATTTATCTAGGCTTTTAAAGTAATTTTGACATAACACTTAAAATTGGCTCTGACTCATATAGTTGCTTTGAGATAACTTTACAGTTTGTCTGCCACTTAATAGTAATCAAAATCAGTTTCCACAGGTATCCAGTTCAAAAATCCACTTATTGATTCTTAGTAACAAAGTTTTATAAGACACTGACTGCTTCCCAAATTAGTGAAAAGTTTGTTGAGTTCGATTCTGAAGATTTAATGGTTTCTAGATTATCTAATATAAGGTTTATGTGTACCTATTAAGTTTAGTACAGACATTTATGACGTAGACTTTAGTTTGCAATACTAAAACTATTGTTCCTTACTGAGGGATATTCGATTGTTGGGGTTGTAGATTCTCTAACCCGAACTCGTACGATTTTGGAGTTATTTGTGTACCAGACAATGTCTGTATTTGCTTAAGAAAATGAACTATATATCATTATGAGATTTGAAACAATTGTACATTTCAGTTGTCTCCGTAAGACTGTCCTCACCAGTGAACGAAAATAAACATTACAGTATCGTAGTGTACAGTACTAATCATGTTCGAAAAAATTTTTAGTGTTTGCGTTTATGAGCACAAACAATACACTAAAAGTAAAAGCGTCATCTTGGAAACACTAAAATAGTGTACTGTTTCCAACATCTCATGTGCTCAGTTATTTTTTTTTTTTTGATAAAGGTATTGAACTTAAAGCTTAAAATACGTGTGAAAATATACAAGTCCATAAATAAGTATTTGAATTTCAATTCGAAAAAACAATAAAAAAATTACTATAAAATTTATTTTGAAACAATAGTTGATATTAAAATATTTTATTAATAGTACTTGAATTTTCCATTGCAACAATAGATGTAATAAGAGCTTAGCACTCAAGTGATAAATAAAAATTTATTTACTGCGCTATTGCAAGATAAAACTAATTGCTCCTTCTGGACACAAACCACATTAACAATAATATTAGTACTAAATTTCATCGCACCAAATGGTTTCGAACTAAATCATACAATACATATGGATTTGTTTTTGTTTTCCATTGAATTGCTTTTGGCGCTATCTTATCTATTGTGAATGTAGAATTTTTGCATTTGCGTAAAAACAACAAATGAGTTCAGTTGTGAATTGTAAATGGAGGCGATTGGTTGTGGTTGAGCGCGTGAGAACAGGCAAAGGAAGATTTAGAATTTTAAGTGCTTCTATTGTTTTATATTTTGTTGTTTGTGTTTATCGTATTTGAGAAAAAAAGAAACAAACAAAATAAAAGAAAAATTGAATTAATTTTAAATAACAGCAAACTAAAAAAAAAAATCGGGTTTTGACCATTTTCGTCAATGATTGTTGTTGTTATCATTAATACGAGGCAATCACATTATTGGTGATTTATAAATAAATAAAAATAACAAAAAGTGAAAAAAGTAGGAAAATATAATTCTTATATATAGATGCATATATATTTTGTGCTGCAGAAAGAAATGTGCTTAATTTGGTGAAAACAAGTGTTTAGTAATTTGTATTTATTAAGTAAGGACATACAACAACAACAACAACTACTACTTCTGCTGCTGCAACACCAAAAAAAAAACTATTCCGGCGTGTCTGGTACGCATACAAACATTTCGATTGAAATATAAAATTGAAAGAGCAAATAAAAAATCATGACAGACGAATGCATCTCAAGAACATGCATAACGCAAAATGCAAACGGTGGCGATATTATAGATGCAAGAGGCACCGAGGGAACAGGTAAAGGCAATGTTAGTGGTAGCAACAACAATAAAGGGTAAGTTACTGTGTGGTTGTGCTATGTACTGTGTTGTGTTTATATTCGAAAAAAGAAGGAACAGAACAAAAAATCCTTGATTATTAGTTTGAAGGTTTAAAGTCGTCTTCGTTATCATTGCTGCTTTTTTTTATAATAAATTTCTTTTATTGTTAACATGTGTTTATATATTTAAACTATTATATATTTAAACTATAATTATATTTTAATTTAGGAAATATTTTAGAAACCAGTTGCTTAATTGTTTGTGGTTTATTTTGCTATTTTTGTGTTTAATAATTGTTGTTAGTAATAATGAAGCTATTTAAAAAATTAATAGTTTATTTTTATAATTATTATTCATCCATTATTTATTTAATTTTTTTTTTTTGATTAATTATTTTTTAGTAAATAATTTTTTTTACCTGTTTTGAATTAATTATTTCTTATTGATAAATTTTTTGTTTTCTTTTCAAAAATGAATACTCGTTTGTTTGGAAAACTATTTGTTACGAATTGGTATTTGAAACAACTAGTAGAGTATAGAAAGAACCAAACGCGAAAAACAAGTGGCCAAAAATATTGACCATGAAATTTGTTTGTGGAGTGGGTATCTCAACCATATTGTGAACATATGACGTATTTAATCTTTTTTTATATATTTGTCCTTTTTCTAAAGTTTTGGACATCAGATGTTCTGTCGATCATCAAATGTTTTTTTAATTTTATTTTTATTTATTTATTTTATTTTTATGTATTTCTTTTATTTTATTTTTATGTATTTCTTTTATTTTATTTTTATATTTATTTTATTTTTATGTATTTCTTTTATTTTATTTATTTTATTTATTTATTTTATTATTATTTTATATTTATTTTATTTTTATATTATTTTATTTTTATTTATTATTTTATTTTATTTTAATTTATTATTTTATTTTGTATTTTATTTTATTTTATTTTATTTATTTATTTTTTTTCTATTTTTGATTTTGATTACATTAATTCTTCTTAATCTAATTAATTCCAGTGTGAACCTTTATGAGTATCTGCGTTCATATCGTTATAGATGTACTGATAATGTGTATCAATAAATGATATTAAGAATTATATCTTAACATATTAACAATTATAACTTTAAGCAATACTATATTTATTTCCGATTTTCTATTTTTGATTTTAATGACCTTTAATTTGGTTTAATTACTTTACTTTTCTTCTTTGACACAAAAGTCCAGTGTGAATTTCTATGAAAATCGGCCTCCATTTCGTTATAGATATACTAATAACTAATAACTAGTAAAACATATTAAGAATTATAGCTTCGTTTTCATGACGACCGGTTCTACATTTCCCGCCGTTACTAGTCGACAATCAAGTTCAACATTCCCAATAGCCAGCCACTACATCAGTAGATCTTCAATAATTACAACAATAATATGAAGAAGAATTATAGCTTCGTTCTTATAAATACTATTTTTGCATTTTTGTTTTTTTTTTGTTTGTTATAATACATCTTGATATGATAACGATAACTGATTGTTATCGTTTAAAAATATATTACTAATTTCTGCACGGTCTCATTTCAATAACTTATTACATCAAAAACTCATTCTTATCGATTAAAATTCCAATAGTTCTTATTTATTACGGAAAAAACTGATTGTTATCGATTAAAAATTCGAAATACTTTTCAAATTTCTTGCCAATCCTCTTCCAATAACTTTTATTAATAATGGCAAAAATTGATTGTTATCGATTAAAAATGGTTTTCAATTCCACTAACTTTATTTCAATATTCCAACAACTGTTTGCGACAAAAATTAAAACAGATTTTAATTGAAATGCATCAAAAACATTAGGATATATCATTTAAATTTCATTAGACAGGGTATTCAGAACTAGATTATTGGGAACGTCAATCGGGAAATCCCGAGACAGAGCGGAACCTCTGACTCATCATTGCATACAAAATATATAAATTTTCGAATTTTATGCTAAGTACTTTATTAGAGCTTCAAAATGCTCTGTGATATATAATTTAGGACTTTTTATGAAAATACTTTCACAGTTAGTTCGCTTAATTTTGAATTTTAATATTACGCTAATAGAGTTTTTTTTAAAAAAACTCAGATTTATCAAACTATACAAACTTTGCATCATTTAAGATTTTATTCCAACTTCAATATAATTTAATCAAAATTTTGTATAAAATTATTTTAATGTTTTCATTAAAAATCATATAATGATTATAAATATATTTTTTAATCGCTTATTAATATTTTAATAATTTATATAATATTTTAATTCAATTGATTGTTAGCATTTTTAAGTGCATTTTAAAATTATAATTTAAAATTTTTAATTTTATCTCAACATGCAAAACTTTAGGCACTACCCTCGTATTGATTTACTTAAAGGCAACATTAGGGAATGGTTCTGCAGAAATTATTTTAGTTAATATACGTTTTTCATGTTCTTTTTTTCACTTCTTTCTCTTCTTATCAAAAATGAAGCAAATTCATTATAGTTTCTTAGTACGCAATTCCAGAGTTTTTTTTTTTTTGTGTACTTCTTTTTACACAGCAAAAACTTTATTTATTTATTTTGCTTTTATTATTCATTTTATTTATTTTAGCTTTTTTTTTTTTATTGTAAAAAATAATGTTAATTTTTTTTTTGTTTTTTTTTTTTGGTTCACGTTATTCTTCAGAAATGCTAAAGCAACAAAACATTATGGATTTACTGCTTTTATGCCGACGGAACGTTATGCGGTGGAGTACAATATGAATCATAGGAACCGCGGTCAGGCTCTCATTTTCAATCATGAACATT